GATTCTCCTTTTGTCTGCACCCCTCCCCTGTGCTTGCTCTTTCTCTATCTTTCCTTAAAAAAAAAAAAAAAAAAAAAAAGATTAGGTGATCAATCCCATTGAGACCTGAGTGGCACCTGCGTAGCTTAGTCAGTTGAGTGTATGACTTAGGCTCAGGCCATGATCTCATGGTTCATGTGTTTGAGATCCACATCAAGCTCTCTTTTGTCAGCACAGAGCCCAATTCAGATCCTCTCTGTCCCCCTCTCTTTCTCTGTACCACCCCTTTCACACACTCTCTCAAAAATAAATAAATATTTTTAAAAATGTTTTGTAATCTATTGTGATCAAGAGACAATATACTTTAGGTAGAGAATAGATCCCAAACATGCTTATCTATTATCTAAAAATTAATAGCATATATATTTAAAAGAAAACATTTATGCTTAATGAAAAATAATTATCAAGACTAAGGAATCGGGACACCTGAGTGGCTCAGTGAGTTAAGCATCCAACTCTAGATTTTGGCTCAGGTCATGATCTCACAGTTTGTGGGATTGAGCCCCACAGTGACATCTGTGCTGACAACGTGGAGCCCGCCTGGCATTCTCTTTCTCCTTTCTTTCTGCATCTCCCAAGCTGGCACTCACTCAAGCTCTCTCTCTCAAAATAAATAAATAAACATAAAATAAAAAATAAAATAAAATAAAATGTGGCTGGCTCTCATAAAAAACTTTTAAAAAGACTAAGGAATAAAGACTAGAAGAAGAAGAAGTGCACATATTAAATCATGATCATTTCTGTGATAATCAAACAGTCAAGTATCAGCTATTAAAAGACAATAGTAGGGCGTCCTGGTGGCTCAGTTGGTTGAGCAACTGACTTCGGCTCAGGTCATGATCTCGCAGTTTTTGAGTCTGAGCCCCATACTGGGCTCTGTGCTGACAGCTCAGAGCCTAAAGCCTGCTTCGGATTCTGTCTCCCTCTTTCTCTCTGTCCCTCCTTCACTCACGTTTTCTCTCTCTCTCTTTCTCTCAAAAATATAATAAACATTAAAAATAATAAAAAATAAAAGACAATAGTAGTTTGGAAACTGGCAGAGACTATTCTATGGGCTTTGAATGTGTAAACTTAACCATTTCTCACAATGAACCCAAGAGTATTTAAAACTGTAATTCTCATGGTACACATAGGGAAAGGATGGCAGGAAAAGTCCCTAATGTGCCTAACATCACACACTTATTAAGTGCTAGAGCAGTGATACAAACCCAAGAAGCCCAGCTCTGCAGCTGGTGCATGCTCTATAAGGATTCTATTGCAGTCACACATTGCAATCATTAACTCTGTAACCACTGAAGACTCTGTCACTCTGGTAAAATATCACCGCCATTATTATTTATAAAATGAGAAATATTTCATAGAAACCAACTTCAACACTTAATCCATTTTTTTAAACTCAGTGGCATCAATTATAACCTGCCAAAAGATACTTTGAAATTTTGTACCTATTCATTTCCTCTATAATCATTTACTAAGTGTATATCTAGATACTGCTAGGCAACTACATTTTTTGAAATGTTTTAATGTATGGATACATAAAAGTCACAATGCAGTCAATTTTCAATTAATTATTAATCAATTACTTCTGTTCCATCTCCCCCATCAAACCCTATGGCAAGGTCTATTTTATCTTTGACCCACCCTTCCAAAAAAAAAAAAACCATAAGTAATATTCATGTACTAAGTAATCATAAAACACTTGATGAATCCCAAATGACTGAATGCCTCTGGGTGATTAACCTTTTTATTTATATTAATCATAGTAGATATTTAATTCTTGCCTTTCTCCTTTAATTTTTCTTCCTTTTAGGACTAATTAACCTCTGGCCATTGGTTTGTGCTAAGATATTATGAAATCCATAATCTAAAAGATAATTTTGAAATATATACACATTTTTTACATATGAATATACATATATACAAATGAAAAGCACTTTTTCATTTGCTTTGTGCTACACATAAACACATATATAGACACATAGACATATATAAATGAAAAAGTTATTTTTCGTCTACTGTTTACTTGATTTGTCCCATATATACACTGCATATGCATATGAGCATAGACAATAGTTAAAATAAAAATTGAGAGCATTTTGAAATGTCAAGGGTTTTTTTATTCCTGATACTGAAGATACTATAGCCTAATGCAAAAGAATATTACTACCACCACCTGTTAATTGGCCCATCAAATGAAATGACTTTATTTGTATGAACCAAAGAAATATGAATACTTAAAAGAATTCTTTTTTAATTGAAACATAATTGATATAAAGCATTATATTAGTTCTAGGTGTGATTCAATATTTGTGTATTTTGTGAAATAATAACAGTAAGTCTAGTTAACATCAATCACCAAAAATAGTTACAAAATTTTTTTCTTATACTGAGAACTTTTAAGTTCTACTCTCTTAGCAACTTTCAAATACATAATAGAATATTACTTTTAAGTTGCTACTCTCTTAGCAACTTTCAAATGCATAATAGAATATTACTATCTATGGTAACTATAGTTACCCTGCTGTACATTACATACCCAGGACTTATGTATTTTATAACTTAAGTCTGTACCTTTTGACCATCTTCACCCATTCACCTACATCCCAACCTTGTCTTTGGCAACCACTGTAAGTTTCTTGTTTTTTGTTTTCTTTTTTAAGATTCCAGATGTATCATACAGTATTCACCTTTCTTTATCTCACTTATTTCACCGAGCATAATCCCTCAAGGTCCATCCATGTTGTCACAAATGGCAAGACTTCATTCTCTTTTATCATGAACAATATTCCATTGTATGTATGTGTGTATATATACCGTATATATACCACCTCTTCTTTATATTTAATCCCCTGATGGACACTCAGGTTGTTTCCATATCTTGGCTATTATGAATAATGTTGCTATGAACATCAGGTGAGGTATCTTTTCAAGTTAGTATTTTTGTTTTCTTCAGATAAATACCCAAAAAATGGAATTGCTGGGATCATATGGTAAGTTCTATTTTTAATTTTTTGAGGAACCTCCATATTGTTTTCCACAGTGGTTGAACCAGTTTGCATTCCCATCAACAATGCACAAGGATTTCTTTTTCACCACATCCTCACCAACACTTGTCCTTTCTCATCTTTTTGGTAATAGCCATTGTAACAGGCATGAAGAAATACCTCATTGTGATTTTGATCGGCATTTCCCTGATGTTTAGTGATTTTAATAAATCTTGACTTGAATCATTTAGAAAAGTCAACAAGGCTTTTGTAACATAATCACAATCATCTCCTATATAAAACTTCTCCGTTTTATGTATTAGAAATATATACACAAAATAAACACAAAGCATAACTATAGCTATAAATCTACTTCAGTATCAGATCCTAGGATAATTCAGTAATATTAATGGTCTACAGAGAAACTGAAAGTTCAGCATGATAAAATTCATGCCATAGGAAAGCTAGAAGCAAAAATTTATTATTCTACAAAAATGATATATTAATTCATTATTAATATAATAATCAACATCTATAACTGACATTGTTATCAGTCACAAAAGCTTTCTTTATAATAACAAAAGTGTGGAAACCATGTAAACATGTCATTGCTTTGCTGAGAATCTTCAATGGCTTCTAATTTCTCTAACAGCTAGCATCAAAGTCTCTAAAATAATCTGCATGACTGTATGATCTATATGCCTACTACTCTTCCAACCCCATCTCTTATTTATTATCTCTCATTCTGCTCTAGAATATTCTCATGTCAGGCAGTCTTATCATTTGCTCCCTTAGTTCTTTCAGATCTTTGCATAAATGCCACTTTATTAGTGAAGACTTCCTTGACAACCCTACATATAAAAACACCTCCCGGGGCACCTGGGTGGCTCAATCAGTCAAGCAGCCAACTTCAGCTCAGTTATGATCTCATGGTTTGTGAGTTTCAGCCCTGAATCAGGCTTTCTGTTATTAGCATGGAGCCTGCTTGGGATTCTCTTTATCCCTCTCTCTCTGTCCCTCTCCTGCTCTCTCTCTCTCAAAAAAAACATTTTTTTTTAAAAAAACACCTCCCATCACCTTGTTTCTTCTATCTTTTTTCTTTTTCTATGAAGAAGTTAGCACCACTTGACATGTATATATTTAATTATATGTTACTTAATATATTTACTATTTAATATATACATTTAACTGTCTGTATCCATTTAGAGTAGAAAGTTCATGAGAACAGAAAAAAGTGTTTTTCTTGTACACTACTACATCCTCCAAACTAAAATGACATATGAGATCTGACAATAAATATTTGTTGAACAAATGAAAAAAAAAAAGGAAGCAACTGTATATGCACTATATAGAAATGATACCTAAAACATATTTGGTGAAAAAGTAATGTACAAAACAATACTGTTGTATATACTACCATTTGTGTAAGAGCAGGAAGCATATAGTGAACATTTATGTTTTCATTTGCATACAATGTTTCTGGAAGGTCACCTTTGAGGTAGAAAACTGGGAAACTAAAAAAGAGACACAAAGACCCCTTTATCTGTACATGTACATGTAGTATCTACTCAGAGAAATTAATTAGGGCTTTGCCTTTATAAATAAGAAATACATAAAATAATCCTGCAGGAAATTCTGTAATTTATAACTCAGTGAGTATCTACGGATTAATTTACATGTGAACTAGGTATATTTTTAGAAAAAAACAAATAAAATCTGTGTTTTAACAATATCTCATATATATTATCTCATTTCAGTATCATAGAAATTTTATCAGGCAGGGTGGATATATATTCATTTCCTCATTTTACAGAAAGGAAAACTCAGAAAGGTCAAGGAAACTGACTGTGGGTACAAAGCAGAGGCAAAGCTGAATTCAGGTCTCTTGATTTTTTGTCTCATACTTTTCTCAATGTATGTGATGAGCAAGTCTTCGAATTAACATTGATCTTATGTATTTAAAGAAAGAAAGTGTACCTTATAATGAAAACAGAAAAAGCTTCAATGATGCTGTGAACCTCAACTGATAGCAGTCCATTTCAGTGTTTAACTATAAAATTGAAAATGTATCAGACACTACTGTAAAATGGACTACTATTGAGTCATAATGACAGACAATATTTAGTCAACAAACCATATATTTTGTTGGCTGCAAATATAACAAAACAGGATTTTATTGATAGTGCTGTTCAACTAAGCAGAACTTACTCAATAAGATTTGCAGAGAAGATAAATATATATTGCATATCAGTCTAGCAAAAGAGCTTAAAAATGAGCAATTTCAGAAACATCAAAGTAAAGGCAATTATCCTACAGAATAGCTAACCATATTTAAAAAGTAAGAACTCATTATATAGTGCCATCAACTCTAGATATATCCGACATATAAGAAAGCTTCAACAAAAGTTATTATATTTGGTGCATAGCACATGCTATTATAAAGTAAAACAACTAGATTACTCTGGAGTGAAAAGAAAATCCAATTCCTCAATTCAACAGATACGGACTGAGAACTTACGTTCTTACAACCAGACAACTAAAAAAAAAACATGAAGGAAGGTGATAATTTTTAATTAATTAATTAATTTTAAAAATAGGAAAGTCAGATAACGATACTCAGGGATTAGAAAATTTTGGTATTTCCATGAGTATCCAAGGACAGCCAGCAAAGAGTTCACCTTCCTAATATTCTCCAAAAGGCCGTTTCCTCTGTCCTGCAGAGCTAGAACCAAAGGATAAAATAAAATAAAATAAAATAACCTTTGGGTTTAGAGAACATTTAAACAACTCAAAACGCCTTTAGAATTATCAGCATATTTTATGTCAACAGATTATCAATCAGATAAGAAATGATTTATCTTCCAATTCAGTATTTCCAAAAGTATATTCCATTCCACAGTGGTCTCTTTAGGATACTCTTTGAAAATGAATTAGGTCAATATTTTCAGAGACACTATATTCGATGCTCTATCTCCCCTCATTGGCAGTGGATATTAAAAGTTCCAAAAATCCTGCAGTTAGTACAAAGGTTTCTTTTGTCTTAATCCAGCATGTCCCAAATTCTGGAACTCATTTCTCCTTGGAATACTTGAAGGATACCAAATTACTATGGTTTTCTACGACTTCATTGGTCACTCCTTAGTTTCCTAACTGGGTCCTCCTTTTCTAGACCACCTAACTTGAAGGGGCCCAGAGTCCAGTCCTTATTTCTCTTTGCTTCTCTATTCTCTCGCACTTGGTAACCACCCATAGTCAAATGATTTTATTTTTTTAAATGTTTATTTATTTTTGAGAGAGAAAGAGGCAGAGCATGAGCAGAGTAGGGGCAGAGAGAGAAACACACAGAATTACCCACATGGAGACAAGGAAATATTACAAACTACAAGCAGAGAACAAAAGATTTACTAGCTAAGGTTTTCAAAACCCAAGTAAATAGAAAAACTTAAGAAGCTCCTCTCGAAGAATGTATATACACATAGTTGGTTATCAAGAATCAAGAAAGGGTCTTTGTATATATAGGAAATTACTTATTATCTGATAGGATAGTAAAGGAGACACAGAATCCGAAGCAGGCTCCAGGCTCTGAGCTCTTAGCACAGAGCCCCATGCGGGACTCGAACTTACTTACCGGCTGTGAGATCATGACCTGAGCCGAAGTTGGACGCTTAACCGACTGAGCCACCCAGCTTTCCCTAGTCAAATAATTTTAAATACCATGTAATACCTAGACTCTCAAATTTATATATCCAGTCCAAATCGCACTCTTGAACACAAGGCCCAAATACCAAATTTTGACAATGACTTGTTTTTTAAGAAAGACAAACTGAGATCTTACTCCACCTCATCACAGCTGCTTAGGTATAATCTCTCCATGCACTTGAAACAAATTGTATCCCTCTAGTTCTCCTGCTAAGAACCTTAAAATCATTCTTGACTATTCTCTCTCATCACGCATATTTAATCCACAGGAAATCTCCTGGACTCAACCTTCAAAATACACACAGAATCTAAACACTTCTTGCTACTTCCCATGCTACCATCCCTGTTCAAACGGTGATCTTCTATAATGTAGGTTACTGCAATAATCTCATTCTTCCATCCTTGTTCCCTTAAGTAAATTCTGAACATAGTTGCTGCAGCAATCCATCTAAATAAAAAGTCATAGCATGTCATTCCTCCGTTATTACTCTCCACCCCAGGCACTTCCCATTTCACTCAGAGAAAAGCCATAATCCTTAATTATGGTCCACAAAGCTCCAAGGTCTATTCTCTAATACTTCTCTCATCTCGTTACATATACTTTCACCTTCCCCTCCACTCAGACTTCCTTAATCATACCTTGAATAGTTCAACATGCCCCTGCATTACAGCCTTTGCAACAGGTGCACTCTCTGACTGAAATGCTCTTTCCCCAGAAATTAGGGGTGTAGTAGCTCCCGGTCTCCAGCCTTTGTTCAAATGTCAACTGTTATTCTGACTTGGATTTAAAATAGTATCCCAACTTCTAGAATCCCAACCCTCTACCCTGCTCTGTTTCTATTCCTTGGCATTTACCACCTTCCAAAATAGTATATAACTTATTACTCATTTATTAACTGCCACTCACCACAGAATGTCACCTTTAAGAGAGGATTTTTTTAATTAGTTTTATTCATTGATGTATCTCAAGCCATCTAGAAATGTGCTTGACTCAATAAATATTGCTCAAATGAATAAATGAAACATACTTACACCCACACAACAGAGAATTTTAACACAGTACTTAATATTTATCATTCTCTCCTTGGTAATTTGGCCAAAATTAGACTGAAATTTTAAAAAAAGACATTAAGATGGTTTCTACTGACAGAGATGATTATATCATCTGCCTCCACAATTTTTTTAGATTTCTGTAAATAAATAGATGGGCTTTCATTCTAATTGAATTATATAGCCAAAATAAACATCAATATATCTAAGAACCTGACTATACAATCCTAATTCTGATTACACAATTTAATCATGTGTATAAGAATACACAATCGATGGCCCATCTTAGTGGTACAGTTCCTTAAGGCACTCTTCCACAAAAGCATTCACCACTGAAGAGTAAGTGTACTGGTGAGCACTGCCATTAATTCGAATCACGTCATATACAGATTAGTGTGGCACAATTAATAACAAAAATGAAAATAACCATAATAATTTAAATACTTCATTTTCATTTATTACATTTTCAAATACTGCCTTTTCTTCCAATGGAAACATTTGAATATGTTTAATTTGAGTATGTTTAACAATCAAACTGTACTATTCAGAACCACATAAACTAAAAATGACTAAAATATCAGCTATTGCATCATTAACTAAGATAGTTCTATTTATGGACCACATTCTGAAAAATGTGAATCCATAAAAAAGCCAAGGACGTACCTCAGGCTTTTTAGCCTTGGCCCTACTTATATTTTACATTGGATACTCTTTTGTTGGGAATATGAAGGAAGGGGCTGTCTTGTACATCACAGGACATTTAGAAGCATCAGGGGCCTCTACCTATCAGATACCACTAACAGTAACAACCAAAGATATCTGAATACATTGATGGATGTCCCCTGGAGGGGAAAACTGCCCTCTTGGTGAGAACCACCAGCCTAAGATGGAAGGGAGAAAGGAAAAAAGGAAAGTAGAGAGGAAGAGAGGAGGGAAGAGAGAGAAGGGGAGGAAAAGTATTTATACTAGGCATTCTTCAACAGGTCATGAAAATATAAAATGAAGTTGAATTTCTAGTTGGTGGATTTGAATGTGTTTACTGTAGTTTAAGAATATAAGAAAAAAAATTATTTTTAAACAAAATCAAATGTACTGTAAAACAATAAACATATCATCAATCTCAGATAAATAAGATTCTACTGTTCTTAAGAAAAAATAATAATAAATAGCTTTCTCCTTATTTCTTGCTTCTATGTTAAGAATAACACCCTACCTTCCTTCTCTCTTCCAGGAATAAAAACATTTGCAGTCTTTGTATTCAGTTTTGAAGGCCAGAGAAGAGTTTTTTCCTCAAACTGTGCAGGCAGTTCCTAAAAGTGTTCTCCAGGTGATGTGACATGACTGACAAATCTATTTTGCATTTACAAACAAGGTTAATAGGGCCTGCATATTAACAAGCATAATAATTTGTCAGAGCAAAAGAATTTCTGTATGTAATATATAATGTATTTTGTATGTATTACATAAATTTTGTATGCATTTATTACCTAGCTATTTGTCTTTCAAGTTTCTCATTTGATTACTCTTTGGCTTACCATAGATGTAACTGATCGTGCATCTTCTTCATAATTTACTACTGGAGGAGGCTCTTTCCCATCATTTTCTTGTACTTTTTGTTCTAGTAATTCTTTCTGTGCTGTAAACTTTGCCTCAGTGCATCTCAACTGCTGGACTGACTGTTTCAGCTCTTCAAGTGTCTGTTTTTGGCTTAGCAGAAGCACAATACTGAAAAAGAACACATTAAATATAAATTATTTCAACTTCTTTAAGAAATAGACCCTCGAAAGGAAACTATACATGTATTACACTTCTGTTTCTTTTCATTTTCACCTTTATAACAGTCCTTCAGAATCATTAGAAGGATAAAACTAAACATCTTTCATGTCATCACGATAGTTACTAAATGTTAGCATTAGCAAAATGGAAGCATAAAACAAATTCAACATGCTTTCAAATACATTATAATGTATGGTGTTCATTTTATTTTACAACTAAGCCATCTACCTCACAGAGTACAGACACTTAGGTTGAGAAGTGTAGGGCCTAAAAAGAATTAATATAACTGAAGCAGAATCTCAACTTACTCAAATCTCAAATGGAATACAGCTGAAGTCATATCTGTGCCTCAGTAAAATAAATCATATCAAGATGACAATCTGGGAGGAAGCTGTGTTTAAATTGAGAGGGGTGTGTTTTTAGAGTTGGGGAGAGCTGTTCTGATGAGGACTGAAGAGTGAACTCTCACTGAGGAAATGAGCATAACATAAGTCCCCAGATATTTCCA